CTTAAATATATATTGTATATTACCAAAAATTAACTAAAAATAGTATCTCAACAAAATAGAAATAAAAAATCGAAACACTTTTGTACATAAATTGACATACAAAACGCCCCACACCTAAAATTTTCCAAAATGGTCCAAAAAAAAATTAATACCAAACTTCAGAAAATTGTAACAATTTTCTCTACAAAATATGGCTAAAGTTTTTTAGAGCATAAAATTGCTCATAATAAATTTATATTATTATTAATTTCTCAAAACTCTCTTTTAATTTAAATTTAATAATAAATTTTTTCCCCCCTAAATTTCAAATTATTTTTATTTTTTTTGTTTTGTTTTTTTTTTTTGTGTATATCTCAACAAAATGATTTACGATGTACCAGTGTACCAGTGCAACTGTGAAGACCTCCAAATATTCATGCTAGATTTACAACAGCTTCTTTGAGTTTTGTGCTTCATATATATACATACATTGTGTATATATATATTTTATATTATTATTTTTTTTTTGTTTCATTTTAAATTAAACTTTATGAAACAACTTAATACGCTTGGGATGAGCTTCACGATCATCGGTTTTATTTTTTTTGTTATATTTCTTTAAATTTATTTTATTTTACTTTATGGCTTGTTAAATTTACTCAGCACATCCGCACTATTTTCCGTTGGCTATGTCACCTTTAAAACTAATTTTGCCATTGTTAATTTAGATAGACAAATGTTTGTTTTTGTTTTTTTACATAACATAGCTGTATCATTATATATATGTATCTATATAGTGTTATATTTAGTAGATATGTATACATATTTAACAATTTAATTTGAGTTTTAACAGTTTGATTTATTATGATTAGGTTCAACTTGTTGAAACTTGAATTTATTGTTACCATTGTCTCGCCTTTTGATTTATATTTTTTTACAAATGAAATGATTTTGAATTGGAAAAAATATTTCAAAACAAACAAGAGAGGTTAATTTGAAAAAACAAAAACAAACATTTTTAACAATATACAGTAATAACACAAACATATATTATAATAATTCGCTAAATAACAAGGTTAACAGTATGTTAAAACAAGCTTAATAAAAGAAAATCTATGTCAGGATAGTTTATTATTGAAAACGTGATATACAGATTTATAATACATATTATATATAATATGTACAAAATATATATTATATTGTTATATACAAAATACATAATATTTTTCTTCTAAGTGGAGTATAGAACCTCTGTTAACAAGTTTAATTTGCGTCATTCAAATCGCATTCAACTGTTCTTCTTGAAGCTATGGCTCGTCTACCTACGTTTAGAACCTTGCTAATTCCAACTCTAAACCTGTCAAGCAATATTGCTTTTTATTTATGTATCATCACATTTCAAATATATTTTAGTTTACTTTAGGTGATACAACTATCAACCAACTCTGATCTACTAAGAGTCTTTACTTGTCCATTCCATCCATTAACTTTCATTTTTCCTAATATTGTATAATGAATATTGTATAAAAATATTGTGAATCTAAACACATAACGATTTTCTCAGTATTTCCCTAATATAATTAATTTGCAACAAAACTCTTATTATGTAGATTAATATGTAAATCTAATAAAAAAAAGTATTAGTATTATAAAATATATAATATAATGTATACTAATATAATATATAATATATATAATTTTGTTTAAAAATAATTTTTTTTTTCAATTTCCATTTGTACTTCAATAACTTCTTTAATTGTTTTTATTTTTAATTACTTTTCATATTTTTTTATATTTTAATTTATTGTAAATATTAGTGTAGAACCATTTTTAACTGCATTTTCTTTTTCAATTTCTTTTGCATTAGTTTCACTTTCACTTCTAAATTATTGCAAAGTTCATATAGTTTTGTTGTCATAAGAAGAGTGAACCTTTTCCGTAAAGTTAAATTATGACATATGGAATAAATATGAATTAGTCATACTATACTATACACTATGTTGTATATTAATATGTTGACATATAATAAAAAGAGCAAAATGTGTACAGGTGCATTTATAGATATATTCACCTAATATTCATACTCGTACTTGAGCATAATCAACTTTACAAAGTATTAAAATGAAAACTTATACTTCAATGTGAAATACACATTTTGCTTATCCACCGAAGGAGTCGGAGTCATAGCAATTATGAATAGGAAGCTATGACTAATTATGTTTATATTACTACAAAAGTACACTACATAAAAATTAAATTTAATTAATATTAATAAATTATTATATTAGCTTTAGAGATAAAAATATTAGTTCAGCTTTAATATCATAATAATTATATTAATATGGAGTAGAAATTAATAACAAAACAAAAAAAATACAGATTAGAAAGTAATAATTAAAAATATGTGAAAAAAACATAAAAAATAATATAAAATAAAAAACATAAAGAAATATATAAAAAAAAACATATTAGTATTAATAAAAAATATTCATATGATAAAAAAACGTTAAAAATAATATAAAATAAAAAACAAAAAGCTAAAAAATAAGAATATATAAAATAGAAAAAATATTAAACAATTAAAAAAATAATAATAAAAATATTTATAAAAATAAAAATATTAATAAAAATTAAATTTTTAATAAAAATAAAAAAATTAATAAAAATAAAAATATTTATAAAAACGAAAATATTAATAAAATTCAAAATATTAATAACATTAATAAAAATTAATATATTAAGAAAATTAAAAATTAATAGAAATCAAAAATCAAAAAAATAAAGAAAGAAATTTTAATAAAAATAAAGAAATAAATTAATAAGTAAAAAAAAGTTAAAAAAGTTACGGAGAAAAAAATTAATAAAATAAAAAAGAAATTAATAAAACCAAATAAATAAATTAATAAAAATAAACAAAAATAAAAAAAAACAAATTAATAAAAATAAAGAAAAAAATAAGAATAATAAAAACTAAAACAAATAAATTATTAATAATAAAAAACAATCAAGAAAATTAATAAAACAAAATAAATATTCTTTATATGTGAAAACGTCAGCTGCAATTATGTTTATAAGCAATAAAGAGAGAAATTTTGAATTGAAAAGTAAAAAAAAAAATTTATATAAATAAATATAAGCAAAAATAAATAAATAAAAATATTCATGAATAGAAATAAAAATAGATATAAATAAATATAAGCAAATGTGTAAAAATAAACATAAGTAAATAAAAATAGATATGCGTTAATAAATATAAATAATTAAAAATAAATATAAATAAAAAACAAAAAAAAATAAAATAAATAAAAGGAGATAAAATAAATAAAAATAAATACGAATTGATGACAATAAAAATAAGAATAATATATATCTCTTTACAAAAATATATTAGTTTAAATTTAATATCATAAATGTAAAATCTGAACAAAAAATAAATAAAAACAACACGTTCGCAATTTATATTAGTAATATTATATTAGTATAGTAATATTTTTTTTCAAAACTAAAACAAAACATATAGTTAATATGGTTGTGAACCAAAACTTAAACCGAAATGACCGATATTCTCGCTGGAACAAAAATCTAAACCAAACTGAAAAAATATATATCAGTTTATTTCGTTTCACAGCAGTTTGGTTCACTAACTATTAATAATACATTATAATACATTGTCAGATTTTTGAAAAAAAAATCCAATATACAAGACTCTTGATTTGCTAGAATTTCCTTTAACTTTTCTACGCTTGAAAAGCAAACAACGAACTTTTCTCACATATATCTTTGATGACTTTTATAGCAAAGAAACTTTACTATTTCTTTTTTTTTTGTTTTTGCCTACTATAAAAGGTACTCTACTCAACTTCAAAGTTTTTAACCATGTCAATCAGCAAATTATTGTTAAAAGCACTCAATACCAAATACCAAATTGTTGCAAACTGAAAGAAAACTTAATTTTGCTAAAAGAGAGTATAGCGCACTTAAACTTTTCTCTGCAATCAAGTATGCACTCAGAAGCAAATGTAGTGCATAGTTGGGAAAGTGCATGCCAACATATCATCGTCGTCAACTCAACGGCAGAGTCAACAGTGGCGGCGTCTAATAAGCAATAAAATTACAGTTGGAAAAGTTGGAAAATGCATTTAATTAAGTTGTTTTCTGTACAAACAATTTTTTTCAATAGTTTTTTGTTTATTGAATTTAATGAGGCACATACGCGTACTTTTTTTCCAGCTTTTACAACTTTACTACTTTTTATTTTTTATTTTTATGCTTTTTTTATTTAGTTTTTTAAGTACGTTTGTAGTTATTTTATTTTTTGTTGCATAGAATTTTTATATATTTTTTATTTTTTTGTTTAGTTCTTGTCTAGAAATGAGCATTTTTTTACGATAACGTGTAAGGCACGCGAGCTCAACAGAAGAGTCAGCAGTTGGTTGGGTCCCATAAAGCGCTCAGGTGCTATCGCCGCGCCGTTTGAGTAACGGTTGTATCTGCTTCTTCTTGGCGTAGTTGAAGTGCTTCCGGTTATTAAAAAATATATATAAAATAAATTAACAAGTTAGTAGCAACACTAACTAGTTAAGCATTTGCCTATAACACTTTTTGTTCTCCGATTAAGTTGTTTTTTAATGTGCAGCAGAAGTTATAAATTAAAAATCCATAAATTAAAAAATCATAAATTTCATATAAAAAGGTTCTCTTCATTCTTATATTATGTTTTTTTTTTATTATTAAAAAGTACATTTCTTTATACTTAAAAAAAAATTTTTTTCTTGAAAAATATTTATTTCTTGTTAATTTTATAGAATCTTTGTTTTTAATACCGACAGTGGGCTATAAAATATTTTTATTAAAAATAGACAGCGGTAATCATAAATAGTTATAAGTATAGCTTTGTTAGGTATACATAATAATCGACTATTTATATATATTTATATTGATTTTAACATATTTAATTTGATTGTTCAATAAAATTGTTTTGAATTTTAATAATAATTATTTTCTTTTTATATTTTTTACAGTTTGTGCAAGATTGGCATCACTGCATGGATTTCGAGGATTGCAAGAATGTAAGTTTAAATTATAAAATATGAATTGAATATTTTTACATATATGCTTTATTGGCTTTTATAATGTTTATGAGAATATAAAAAATATTAATTTACATTTATAATTAATAATTATTATTTTAGAAAGAATAAGTAATAGAAAAATTCTATAATATCTGAACTTTATTAATGAAAAGTTACTGCACTTTTAGTTGCCATTTAAATTGAAGAGTTGGCTGTTTTTTATAACCTAGTACCACTACTTTTTATTACAAATTAAAATTAAATAATTAATAAATAATTCGGCCTGAGAAAAACAAACAAAAAAAAACAGTTAGGTTTTTATAGTAAAAATCCTATAACTGTTAATTTTAAATAATTGGTTCAACTGTGCGTAAATATTACTTATTCTGTTCTTTTGTTTTTTATTTATATTAATTTTAAATTTATTAATATTAATTTTAAGTTATTTGTTTTACTCTATTAATTATTTGTTATTTTAAAAATTTATTTAATGCACACAATATATATACAATATGTATACACAATTAAATATTTATTGAAACTACCATATAGATTTGCATAAAATTTTAACAAAAAAGAAAAATACTCACAAAAAGACTTTTAATATTAAGTATTAATACTACAGTATTTTGCATAATATATAAAGCATTTAAATATTTATATAGAAATATAACAACATTTTTTATATGAAAGCTTTTTAAATAAATTCCTGCATTTAACTACCCGCAGTATTGCCAAATGTTTATGAATTAAATAAAATGTTATTGAAATCAAAAAATATTTATTTGTAATAAAAATTTACAAATGCAAAATAAATAAAAATATTTAACAAAAGTATTGTTAGCATGTACCCACCCCCTCTCACCCTTCACTCCATAGTATATACTTACAATAAAAATATTTTTATTGATAGTTGTTTTATTTTAATGTTCATAAGATAACATATTTTTAATATGAGCTTTAAATTGTTATAGTTTTTATAGTTAAGAATAGCAACACTCAAATTAGAAAATCCTTAAAGTGCAGCAAAAAAACAACAGGTCTCTTGCTGAAGTCTCTTGCGGCATATTGTTGCAATCTGTCAGACATTTGTTTTCACAATGTTTGCAATTAACAAATAAAAAAATGAGATATCCATTTAATTACACTTTCATGTTTCTAAAAATTGTTTGTAAATTTTTAAATTATTTATTGTCCACAATTCTCAGATTTTTAATACTTTTTAAATTTCTTTAAATTTTTTTATACATTCTTTTGACATATGATTGAAATATTCGTTAAAATTATCAATAAAGGTTCACAACAGATCGCTTAACGCTTTGGTAACATTTTTTTCTGCAATCTCTTAGTGTAACATACTAGAAACTTCATAACTAGTCTGTTAGACCAAAAGAGTATTATTGTTGTTTTACATACAAATTAGAGACTTTAACAAGAGACTTGTTGTTTTTTGTCACAGTGCGTTATGACCAAATACTCACATTATAATAGATTATTAAAGAGAATTTCATATTTCGCTTCTTAGCAAAAATGGTTTTTCTATTAAAACTTTAAATTAGTTTCTCAGGTTAAATTAATGACATTTTTTCGTTTATTGTTAGGAAAATAGTTAATTTTAAAAAATAATTCGCTTGACAATTTTACAATATTCAAAAATAAATATAAATAATAATATATCCTAATATATATTATTTATGTATATTTTTCCGAGCTAATTTATTAGTTTAATACACAGCCTATAAAAATTTTTTTAAATAAAAATATTTTATATCAACTAATATTTCGACTATACTCATTAGTCACCTTCATATAGTCTTCGTATCATCTTCGTATAATTCTAGACTAGTCGAAAAATTGCTGGCAAAACAAAAATATTTTTTTTCAAATAATTCAAGAAATTTTGTCTTATTTAAGCAATTGATCATTTCGCTCGTTCAGAAGTATATTAAAAATAAATTTAGTCATTAGAACAATAAATTATATATATTATATATACAAAAAAAAAATTATGTTTTTTGCTTTTTTGTTTCTTTTGCAACACTTTCTTTTTTTTCATAAACTCAATACCTACAGTTGGTCACTATTGCGTGCTTAAATCGTGCAAGTACTTACCTATATTACCATTTATATTAAAAAATTTTTAAAATTTTTTCTTCTCAAATGCTTCACATAACAGCTACTAAAGTAACCTTATTACATGCATTTTAAGTGATATTTAAATACCCTCCACTGGCTAAGCTTACCTAAGTTAACTAACTACAAATTATATTGCATGTATATGTTGTGCTAACATAAACATTTTTACATTATTAATTAAATTAGTTGCAACTACTCTATAACGCCCACTATTTCCCGCTTAAAATTTTAGCTTCCGTTTTAAGCAACTTCAAATTACCTACCATTTTTCCTGGAAATTTAACTTAAAACCTTGCCTTATGTTACATTTCTTTTTACTACTAATTTTATACACGTCATTTTTTGCAACAATATTGCATTTAAAGCCAAAGCACAAAAAAAAAACAATAACAACACTGAATAGTTATTAGAAGCACTAAAAAGAATAGTAAAAAAATATTACTAAGTAGTAGAAAAGATACAAAAGAATTGGTATTGTCTATGCTACTTAGTAAAGTTGCTATTTACTACAATAGTAGCATTTTTATTTCTTCTCTTCTCTGCAAATACGTTTTATATTTATAAATTTTTGGGTAGCAGTTGCTAGTTGTCAGTTGTAAGTTTGTAGGGTTTGTAAGGACAATAGCTACAATTTAACATACACTTAATTAAAATCATTGCAAATGCAGCCAGTGTTGCTGTGTAGCACTTTGTCTTGTTTAATTAAACTAATTAAAAATATTAAATACCAACTTAATGGTAACTGCAAATGCCAGCGGCAAAGCAAAGCAAATAAAGCACACACAAAAAAAGGAGTAAATAAAGGACATTCAACACACATACACATATATAAACATATAAAAGCAACTCAACTCAACTTCAAAGTTTTGCACGGTGTAAGTGTGTGTCAGTTTCGTATCAATTTCATTACACTTTTTTTGATACTTAAAAAAAGCAATAAACCTTAAAATAAGCAGCGAAATAGCATTTGTTGTTGTTGCTGTGTAGTTGGCTTACCGAACCGTGGTAAGCGACAATTGACACTTGTATTGTTGCAACAACTTTCAACACTGGAAGAAGTAAAGGAACTGCAAACATATGTGCGCGCTTTACAAAGTATGAGTAGATATGACATCCCCGCATTTGTATTGTGTGTAATAACGTTTTGAAGGGTTTAAAAACGATAATTATAAAAACAACACAACAACAACGGAAAAGTAATGCACTTACAAAAAAAATTTTACAAAGACCAAGTGAAATTATGTATGAGAAGTAAATAAAAAAAACAGAAAAAAAACTTCAAAGCTTTAAACACTTAAGCCGCATATGCATGCAGTAAAGGCAAAAGCAGTGACGTTTACTAAGGCAGTAAGCATAAACGCTGCCAGTGCTTGTTGGGCAAACTAACTCTACTTGCCTTACTTCCCGGCTAGTTAGCTGTTTTGTTGGTTGGTTAGTTGGTTAAATGTTTGCTAGTAGTTCAGTACTTTGTGGTATATATATCAGTATTGTCGGCTTAACTCAAGCGTGTAGGTACACTATAGCAATCGCGCCTAACAAAGTGTCCACTTGCCACTACTACTGCAACTTCGAGTTGCAACTCTTGCTTTGCTGCTACTGGGTATGCTACTCTAACACTCCAGACGTATACACTACGCTTAACCTCCATTTCAGGCAGCTTATAGAGTTTTCTTCACTCATCTTCAGTTTTGGTTTAAATATTTTATAATTCTTTTTTTTTTTGTTTTTGTTCTTGTTTTTTGTGTATATGAGCATTTCCTTAATGCTACGCTTTTTGCACTCATTTACGTTTTTATCTTGTAGATACACTTTAGTGTTCCTTTTATTTTATTTTGTCAAAGCGAAAAAAATCGTATTGAATTTCATTACTTTTCTGAAATGAGTTAAGGCATTTTAAAGGCACAGTAAAACGTTGCAGGTTTTGTTGTGTTATGACGTATGTCAAATGCCGCATTGGCTTCCATAATATCACTATGACATACACATGCAAGAAAACAAAAACAAAAAATAAAAAAAAAACAACTTGCTTCCTTGGAAAAGACAATGAGCCCGGTTTTATTTCACCACTGCTTAAGGCTTTACACAGCTTTTTTGATTTCATTTTAATTTATACAATTTTTCTTTTTTTTTTGAGGTATAAATTCTCTAGTAAATCTCTATATAATGGATGTGTGTGTGTGTGTCAGTGTAGCTATGCGTGCATTTTATCCTTTTTTTTTCATATATAGTTGTATTTGTATTTGTTCATTTATTTTTACCTTCTCGGTAGTATGCTATTCAACTCAGTTTTAAGTTCAGTTGCCATTTTATTAGTGCAAACGTCATTTTACAATTTTGTCATTGCACCGCACCATCACCATTCTACCATTCTACTGCATGTTGCAGTTATGCAGTTATTGTCAACCAAGCCAAGTGCCATGGCAGCAGCAATTGTTGCTTGACCAACCCACTTGCGTGCTTCAGTGTATTTTATTTCATTTCATTGCAAAGCATGCATTTCATTTTGTTGCAGTCATTGTGGTTGGATTTTTATGTCAATGCACCTAACTGCCAACAACAACAAAAACAACCACAACCAACAAAATATATTTTATATATTATTGAAGGCAAATTTTAAATTGTTGTTAAATTGTTTTTGTTTCTGGTTTCAAAAAATTTATTACCACATATATGTATATACGTACTGCTCAATATAAAAAATTGATCCATATAAAAAGTTAAATCAATGCTTGACATGTCAGTGTATCACTGCGACATTTGTTTGACACCTTTGATCATTGAATCGCATAATACGAAAAAAAAAAATTTAATTTTTATACTTTAAATAGCTTCACCCTACCATTTTGTTAAAAAAAAAACAG